CTTTCCGAAGCGGCTCAGTGCAGTTCTGCCTGTGGCCCTAGCTGTGTCCGTTGTACGATTCAGTGGCACCCTGTCCATATCCTTCGTCCCGAGCAATCCCTCCGAGAACACGCCGACCAAGATGACCTTCACCTTTCTTGACGACTACAGGCTAGACTTTTCCATCCGCAGCTTGATGGGAAGTCGTTCAAGGTTACAAGACGTTCCCAAGATCGCACAGCTGGTTGAGTCGCGCCTCCATCGCTGGTTTGACGAACGGTGCGTCGAGCCGAGGTTTCAAGAGATTGCCCTCCCCAGCATGTGGCCGCGGAAGAAGAACACGCGCGGCGGCGACGAGGCGATTGCCGACGCAGAGCGCTCCATGGGCAAATCAAAGGGTATGGAAATGGCCAAAGAAATGCGAACCGAGGCTCGGAGAGAGGTTGAGGCTGAGACGGATGTGCGAGCTGATAGGGGACACGAATCACTGAGATACCGGCGGCGACCACAAACCGACGATTCCTTTTCTACGTCCGGGTCGATGCCCGGCTCGATGCCAGACCTTGACATTCCGACATGAGGCCCTGACCGACTTTGACGGAAAATCACTTAATACATCGCTTCCTGGTCCGCGGCAGCACTTCAGTGGGTACGGAAACGTACCGAGAATTATAACCATCCTCCCTTGACCCCAAGTGCGGCGAGGTTTGTTTGCCGAGCCGAGTTTTGAGCGCACTTGGATCCGCACATGTACAGTTGCAGGGCCAAGTTGGTAGGCTCATGTGTTATTCAAGCGACGATGTATGCCAAATGGAAGATGGGACGGTCCGACCAGATTGTCGGGTGTCAGGGATTTAACGGGATCGGTTCGTGCCGCTGCAGACTATGGCATTGGCTACTAGGCTACCCACTAGAAGAGGTCGGACGATAGAGGCCAGCCGCCCTCTGATGTCGGGCAACATTATTCACCACTCCTGAGTCGCCACTATGAACCAGTTTCGAAACAATGGATATATATGGCCGCTCAGGAAAAAAGTCTTATCGATCACGTCTTCCCTCTTTCCAAGCTATTTATCAACGGTTTATCCTTACGTACCTACTAACCCCTCTCGCACAACACTTACCACAAGGCCTCGGAAATGCTTCCAACTTCACTGGCTAGTTGTCTCGCCGCCACTTTGAGGCCCACTGCAGAATGTCGATGAACACTGCGAACACGTCAACAATCCCAGCAAACAGCCGAACCCATTTAAAGACGCCCCAAATGGCCAAGCCACTCTGAGTTGTCTCTTGACTAGCAAAGCGTCACTCCCAATGTGGGCATTTTGAAGTTGGCCTGCTCGCATGGGGTGTTGGCAGCAACCTGCGTCAGCTGTGCTACCCCAGGCCAACGCTACGCGATGTCCCGCTTCAACCATTATTCAGGGGTTTGACCCTTGGCTGTAGCCGGGCAGATCGGCTCCTTTGCCTGCGTGCGCGGCCGGCACGCGAGCCTGGTGGGAGAGGACATACATACATGCCGTTCTGGGTCGAGGAAAGCAACCTCTGCATAATGGGTATCGCAACGATCTTCGGGCTTGACAACGTTGTTCTTCTCGGCCTCTTGTTGCTCTTTGGAAACACTCCAATCGCGGTGGCCCAGACGAGAAGTGATGGAGTGCGGCGGTGTAAGCATCCGGCTTTCGTCGCGCAATCGGGCAGCCAGTGAGAGCCCAATTGGCGTGGCTCTCGATTTCATCGCGGCGACGTTTTCTATCCCTGTCACAACGATGGTATTTAATAGTACTTCTGTCCGCTCCGCCGGCTTTAATCAACATGTCTTGTCTTCTCATATTTTTTTTTGGCATCACTTGGAGGACCTTTACGAGCACCCGAGTGTTCTGTCTAGCATGACGCCACAAGTGGTAGCTGTGTTAGCTTACTCGGCGTCACTTTTTCTATGTCATCTAACTACGCTGCGACGTCCAGCACGGTATGTTATTGTCATTGTTCATGAGGCCAGCTTCGGTTCTCACGAGTGATGGGCTAAGGGTTGTAAGAAAACAAGTTGCTAACACTCATCTCATAGCGAGAGCTTGGAGGGGACACTTACCCCATCCTGCGCTTCCGTGAGGACGACCCCGAGAACGACACTACCGCGCTCTGCCTCATCCAAAGAGCGTATAGTGAACCCCCTAGCAGTGCCGGTGCGTCTCAAACAACATCGGCCCTAGTGACTGAGTATCATACGCAACGTTCGAAACGGAGAATCCAGAACATTGCCGGAAGACTTGATCCCTCAATCCGGTAACAGAATCTTCTCGCCGGGTCCGGTGGCAGGCCGACTCAGTGTGTGGTCAGGTCAAACATATTTGCCCTAAACGATCAATGGCCCTGTATGGCGATCATGGCCTTGCGCTACTGTTGGCCGAACGGCCTTTAAGGGACTTGGGACCAGGAAACGGGGAGGCCGCTCTAGCCGAGTCACCTGCCCCCAACCGAAATCCCGCCCGAGTCGTTGGGGGAAAACGGGTGCCGGGCAGTAAGAACAGCCACTCAAAGCATCCTCTTCTCTGTCCGGTCGCCGTTGGTCGCCCGGATCGGTATTCCAAGGTCAAGCATAAGTGTAAGCCAGGCGCGACGTACAAAGGCCTATCGAAACTCAAGTAAGAGACCCGACGTCCCCATCACACCCTGGGGATTTGCTGACAATGTCGTTGGGGCAGCGAGCATATCCGCCGCGTCCACTCTAAAAAGGCTCTATGTGACATTTGCTTCGAGGATATACGCGAGGAAACCAAGGAACCGCACGCGTTGGAATGCGTACCGACGACAAAGGATAAGAGAACACTATACCCTACCTTTCTTTCCGAGAAAGTGATATCCGAGGTGACTTAATTGGAAGCACACTATGCCCAAGGCCAGCCATGCACCCAAGGGCAAGAAGAAGGGTCTCGTGGTCCGCCGTTGGGAACACATTTTTTGGATCATTTACCCAGGAGAGCCCAATACCTGAGCCACGTACGTGCAAAAACACATCCGTCAAACTATTGAATCTGCGGTTGACTAATACGCGCTTGCCTACCCAGTGCTAGCATTCTCGCCTTCGGTATCCCCAGAGCCGGCATCCTCACAGTTGACATCGTCACAGCTGGCATCCTCGTGGAGGAGCCCCGAGCCGCTTGTGCTTCATTCTACAGCGCCACGACCAAAGCGTCGGGCGGGATCTTCGCCACATGGCAGACCGCCAGACTCGAAACGGAGACAGGCTGAGCTCGAGGCTCAGGTGGCGGATGCGGGAGCTAGGGCTGTCGGGCCCCAACTCGCACCGGCCGATTTGGGTCAACTGGGCGGACACGGTGGCCTGCCCCCCGGGAAGGCAGCCGCATGGCTCCAATAACCCGTTCGTCAGTCCGTACTCTCTTGACAACAATATCGACCCCAGCCTGTCTGCCTACGCCCCGCGACCCTTCGTACCCGCGATGGGCAAGATGTCGATAGCCACGTCGGAGACCACTGCTGTCACTGGGTAACCAGCATGCCGCGTACACGGGCTCGACGGCCTGGTCAGAGACCAATGGCTTTCCTAACCATGAGGATCAGCCACTGCCGTTGCCGTCATTTGCATTCGAGGACAAATATGACACTTTATATTTCCCGGAATGCGAGAAGGAGGAGCGCTTGGGGGCTTTTGAACCTGTGCCGGCTGCCGACTACGCGCAAGATTTGGAGGGCGAGGACCTATCCGACCCGACAGGGATCACGCAAGAATTGGAGGGCGACCTGTTCGCAGACTTCGACAGGAGCATGCTCGGGCCGCTTACTTAGGTTGTCTCAAGCGTTAGCGGGCCTACAATACATAAAAGTAACCTAGTTGATTAGAAAGTTTTATTTATTTTTATTTTTATTTTATTTTCCTAGACTTTTTTTCTTTCCCTTCTCTCTTTCTCAGTGAAACCCTCTGCCCCTCTTTAACCTTCAGGGTGGCCCCTGTCACTCACAGATGGCAAACACATGCTTCCCTCAGCTGCCAAGACCACGTGCACGGTGATGTCACGCTTCAGGGTCGCAGCTGCCAAATTCCTGGGCCATTCATTGATTTGGCCCTCGTGGTCAAGAACACCTTCCCTCTCTACACCGTAGAGGCAATGCAATAACGTCAGGCATCTGCCTAGACCTGCACTCCGCCCTTTCTATCTCAATCCAGGGGCACTTCTCCTCTGAGCTTCAGGTATCTCAATACCCTCTCGCTCATTTTCTCCATACACGAGGCGGTCGGAAAACATCTTGCCAGTTGAAGCTAGACTCGAGCTGCCTCATGGTGGTGTGATGGAACCAACCTAGCTCCGATACCCACCAAACTTACTTCAAATCTGAAAGTTTGCTTCGGTTTTACAACCGCTGCTGTCGTCACCATGATACCCTTCATACACGCCCGTACGGAACCAAAACAAAACACCCTGCCTTGCTTTTTTGGCTGGCATCGACTGGTAAACCTTGGCTAACGCTGTTCCCCGTCCTAGCATTCGTTTACATAGCCGATAAAATAGGCGCTGGTCCTGATGAGCGTATGATGCCTTTTTTCCTCCCTCATGTTCCTGTTCTGATTTTGGAACGTCGACCGAGTTCCTCGAAACATGGCTGACCCATCCATGACCCTTCAGTCAAACTCATTTTCTCCATCCTCGTCTCCTACCCGCTCGCCGGCCTCTTGAAACGGGTCCCCGACGCTAAGCCCGCTTACAAGAATCTGTTTTCACTCGGGTGCGTCGTACTCCTTAGCGCTAAGCGGCAACCAGCGGGAATGGATAGTTAACACCTGGTTATAGCATCTCCATCTTCTTCCTTGTCGGCCTCTTCGATCTCTGGGATGGCCTCCGGACGATGCTCATATCGGCGGGCGGTGCCTACGCCATTGCCAAGTTCCTACGCGGCTCCCGCTATATGCCATGGGTCGGTTTCGTCTTCCTGATGGGCCACATGAGCATCAACCACATCGCTCGCCAGGCCGCCAACAGCCCACGCTCTGTGGACATCACGGGCGCTCAGATGGTCCTGGTCATGAAGCTGAGCGCCTTCTGCTGGAATGTGGCAGACGGCTTGCTTCCCGAAGCAGAATTGTCCGAGTTGCAGAGGGACCGCCGCCTTACCGAGTTACCCGACCTTCTTGACTATGCCGGCTTTGTCTTCTTCTTCCCCAGTTTGCTCACCGGCCCAGCCTTCGACTTTGCCGAGTACCGCCGTTGGCTCGATACCAGCATGTTCGAAGTGCCGGCCCACGTCGACCCAGCCAAAAAGCCGCCCACTAGACGCAAGCGCAAGATCCCCCGCAGCGGCACGCCGGCCATGCTGAAGCTCGTCTTCAGCCTGGTGTGGATTTTTGTGTTCCTACAGCTCTCTGCCTACTTTGATCACACAGTTCTGCTTCAAGACAGCTACCTGGAGCATGGCTTCCTCCGTCGACTATTTATCCTACACATGGTCGGTTTCACCGCACGCACCAAGTACTACGGCGTATGGACACTGTCCGAAGGCGCCTGCATCCTCGCTGGCTTGGGGTACAACGGGGTGGATCCTGTGACTGGTAAGGTCTCATGGGATCGCCTTCAGAATATCGACCCCTGGGGTGTCGAGTTTGCGCAGAACACTCGGGGCTACCTCGAATCTTGGAACATCAACACCAACAAGTGGCTGCGCAACTATATCTACCTGCGAGTTACCCCCCGGGGCAAGAAACCTGGTTTCCGCGCCAGCTTGGCCACATTCACCACGTCCGCCTTCTGGCATGGCTTCTACCCCGGTTATTATCTCTCCTTTGTTCTAGCCTCATTCATCCAGACAACGGCAAAGAGTACGTTTTCTAGCCCATCTATTCTGATCCGCACCACTGACATATTCTGGCAGACATGCGCCGAAACTTCCGCCCCTTCTTCGTCGATCCCAAGACGGGCGCCGCCCTCCCGTCCAAGAAACTGTACGACGTCGTCTCCTGGCTCACCACCCAGCTCACCTTCTCGTTTGCTGTTGCACCCTTCCTCATCCTCTCCTTCTCGGACTCCTGGACGGCATGGTCGCGCGTCTACTTTTACGCCATTATCGGCACCGCGGCCATGATGGCGTTCTTTGCATCGCCGGCCACAGCGCACCTGAAGAAAGAAATTGGAAAGCGGAATGCCAAGGCTGGGGTCGGCGCGAACGGAACTGCTGGCCGGGGCGGCGACGGAAAGATCAACCGGTCCACGAGCTCGGATAGCTTGGCTTCCGAGGTGCCCGTCATGGGCATCTCGCAGGATCTGGAGAAGGAGTTTGAGAGTGCTATGCGCGAAATCAAGGATTTCGAGATGCAGAAGAAGATGAAGAAGTAAAGTGTGAGTAAGGAGGGGGTGATCTTCAGAAAGGGAGTGGGATTGTTTGAGTAGGAGATGGATCTGACGACGGAAGGGAGGGTAACGATTCCGGAAGTAAAGAGAAAAAGGGGATATTGAGGTGGAACTTGCATTGCTATATAGAGCAGCCGGCTGAGCGGGAGCCGAGCATCGGAGCATTTGCTTGGGACGACTTTGCATTTCTACATCAGCGCGCGCGCGTGATTATTGTGACGGGAGAGAAATATGGGACAGTATTTAATACCAGACAGACAAGGGACTCGGATTTGGCAGATAAATATTGTATTTGCATTACGTTGCGTCTCTCTCGTAATCCAACACAAAACCACCACCGCCATATGGTAGGCAGGTAGGTTAGGTAGGTAGCTAAACAGAAAACTAGTTTAAACACTAAGTGTAGCAGCGAGAGCCGAGCTCTCAAGCGACGGGCCATGAGCTCTAGCAGCAAGCAAAGGTGTATCATCATCATCATGTGGCTTTTTGTCTGAAAGATCCCCCACCATGACAGATATCCCCACCCAGGACGAGAGAAAGAAGAAATGATGGCGACGTGGACACCATGTGAACAACAACAACATCAACACCAACGCACGTGTTGGGTGGATGTGTGTCAAAAAAACAAGACCTCCCCCTCCTCCCAAAAAAATACCAAAAAAGCTCCGCCCGACTCCGAGAGAAACAGACATAAACAGCGACAAAAAACGGGGTATCTTCTCGCGAGTTTCCCCCCTCTCCCCTCCGTACAATAACTAAAACAACGCTCTCCCCTCCGTCCGACCCCGCCAACCTTTTCTCTGCAGTTTGAGAGAGAGAAAGGAGCGGGGGAGAGTAATAAAAGTGATGGTGGTAATACAATAAGTAGTGAGAAGCGAAAGCGCGAAAAAGAGATGTCGTTATTTTTGACATGGCATGCCCATTATAGCCAGGCCAGCCAGAACAGAGGCGGTGGCAATGGCGTAGGGTCTTGGGGAAAAAAAATCGAAGAGAAAATGGGCGACAAGTGGTCGCTGTTGCTGGAATCGTGACAAACCCCTTTAGAGGGGTGGAGCTCGTTGCAAGAGTCTATTGTGTGTCGCTAACGCTGATGATGCGATGTGATGTGCAGTGAGGGAGAATATCCCGATGTAGGAAACCGTTCAGGCGCTGGAAAACGAAAACCGTCCTTTCTTTCCCGTTCGTGGAATGTGTTCCGTTCGTAAGGTCGTGCTCCGTGGGAGACATGTGGGTGTATATATATACTGAGAGGTGCAAGGTGTTGTGTTGTGGGTGTGGTTGGTGGACTCGATTAAGATGGAAACGAGGGCGGCGTGACGGGAGGTTTGATGGCTGTGGTCGATCCCAAGAGCTAATGGCCCCATCCCTGCCGGACACCGATAACTGCTAACGCGACGACGGCGCCGATGATAAGAAGGCCAATGATGGACATTCCCCGATTAAGGTTACGCCACCATCTAGCACTCTCATATCTGGTTTCGTCGACGGCATATTTCTGGTATCGGAAAGCGGGATGAGTGGAGGTGTACTTGTTCTCGCCGTTCTCGACGTCGAGTGCTTTCGGGTTCGGGGGCAGCGGAAGGAAGGCAGCGATCATCCAAGCTAGGCACGGTGTTAGCATACATCTCAAGTGTGGGGAATTGTCAACAATAAAACATACCCAGAGGAAAAATAAACCCAATGATAAACAGCAACACCTGGGCGTTCCTTCTGCCGAGGATAGAGCTGTCGGCTGACCAGCTCACGCTCGGCGGATCCCACACGCTGTATCGAGTCGCCCGACGATCCGGTTGGAGATGCGGCGACCAAATACTGGACGTCTTCTGTCTTAGCGTCCTGAAGACGTTGTAGTCGTGGCCCTGGGGGGCTGGCGATATCTCCATGGAGGCCTGGTCGGGGGAGCGTTGTTGACCGTTGTTCGGCTGCACTTCTCTCGCCCGCTTGCGAGGGCTGAAAATGGCCTGGGGGAAGTTGTCGGTATTCGGGGACTCGCTACCTAGGACGCCCGAGCTGGGGGGTCGGCTATCGCCACTGTCAGAGATTGTCAAGAAGGATGGACGGCGGCCGAGGAATCGCCGTTCGCCAGAACCGTAGTATACTCTAGCGGCGCATGTCAGCGCCGCACTGACAAAAGGAATGCGGCCGTCGTGACTTACCTAGCCCAGGCTGGGATCTGGGAGTTGAAACTGTTGGCGCGAGAACTCGAGTTCGAATGGAGATTCCAGCTCCCGCTGTTGGCGAAAAGCGCGGCCAGGCCCGTCTTTGATGGTCTGTGTTCCAAATCGGCCAACCCATCTCCGTGCTCGTCCTGGTCTCGGATCATGCGGATCTGTGAAGGACCCGCTCTCGCGTAGCTTTGGGGTGGCCTCTCGAGCGAGTCGCTGGCCGACGTGGTTGCGGCCTCATCGAGCTGTCCAGCCATGGATGACGATATGCTCGCCAATTGGCGGCTGTGCAAGGAGCTCACCCAGCCTGTGCTGCTGCGCCGTCGCTGGTGTCCTCCGCTTCCCTCTGAGAGGGGCGAGACAGAGCGTGCGGGATCGCTACCTCCCTCGCTCTCGGACATGACTGTGGACAGCTGGGAGCTCCATTGGTGAGGCTGGGACTGCAGCATTGGGGCCTGGGGTCCGGAAAGTGATGACTGCTGCTGATTGGAGACGGGACGATGACCTTCTCAGGAATCGACCATGGAAGCGTTGGTCGATGATGCGGGAGTGAGACACGGACTGTCACATCGCTGGGCGGATCTTCGGCCGGTGATGATAGACGACAAGCTCTTGAGCGACTGGACAGATCCAGTGCGAGACCGGAGGGTCTCACGGGACCGCTGCTTGTAGTAGCCGAATCTCTCGTATGACGGCTTTTTTGCCGGCCTTAACGGTGCCACAACCAAGCTCTCCTGTGAGTACGCCGGACGCGGCTTTCTGGAGACGGCAACGAGGGACGACGAAGGTGACACGGATGGGGCGCCGTGCAACACGTAGTTCTCGTCACCGCCGTGGGAAGCGGTAGTCGGTCTGCTCGGAAACGCCGGAGCGGGCGAGGATTGGCCGATGACCTCCCAATTGGAGGGGCCTGCAAAGTTGAAGGGGAGGCTGTCTCTGGACTCTTGCGCAGTAGATGCGGGGCCATACACCTTGTAGTTTGTCGCCTCGGAGACGGTCTGAATCGTTTGGTTGGAAACACCGGACGAGAAGGATGTTTTTCGGACCACGGTTCGAGTCGATGTGCCTTCTTCCTTTTCGCTGGCGGAGGAAGAGGCTTCCGGTAGTGGGGGGAGCTGCGTCTCGGCTGACGACGTTGATGAAGCGTACGCCGCCTGCTTTCCTTTGTTGTCCGGCGTCGAGGGTACCTTCCGGAGACCACCAACTAAGCGGTAGTTCCAAGGGGATGAACCACTGGAATCCTCAGCTAACTGTGTGGACGAGGAAGCACGGGATGGAGTGGAGTGCCGCTTGTCGGAAAAGCTCTGGTCGAGTACCACTGTGCTCGCGCCTGTCAATGGGGTACTCGAACGTCGCTCGCTCCACGTGTCAGTCGAAGCGCGGTCCTGGGCGCTTGGTGTCCTGGAAGTGTACGACGGGAGATGTGATGTCAGGCTTTCGGTGACGCTGCCGGTGACGCTGCCGGTGACGCTGGCAGCGGCGCTATCAGAGACGTCGGATTGCGGCTCTTCGGGCACGAGCGAGAAAGTTCCGTTGGAATGGACGGCAAGTCGCAAGGTGCCTCGACGCGAGTCGGACCGTTTGTGCCGGGAGTGAGCAGTCGCTGGTGAGGGAGAAGATTCTGCGCGGGAGCGCCTCGGCGCTGGCGCATTAAAGTCGGTGGTGTTAGCTGAGACTTCAGACGGTGACCTCAGCGTCGGTGCGGTTGGCCCAGCGGGGCCCAGGGTCGAGGGGCTGCCCAGAGGTTTCACCCCTGAAACCCTCTCATCCCTGGATCTCGCCAATGAGGAACGCCTAGCCGTGGGCGACGACAATGCGGACCCCTGGCCGTCTGTCACCTCATCTCTCCAGCTCGTCCGTCTGGAGTGAGAAGCATTGCTACTGGCCTGGTCGTTGAAATGACCCGAACTTCGATTTTCTCGCGATGACGCCTGGCTTGGCGCCCGGTCCTCGGGGTCGAGCCGGGGTGGGGAATACGGCACGAGACGGATGCCGGGTTTGTTGGTTTGCGAATTGGATCGCTCCTGAAGGGATTGGGTTCGGCCATGTCGGGCTGATGGCGCCGACATGGCTCTGAGACGGACGGCGTTCGGGGCCGGGAGGCTATTGATCCGTCGAATCCCGCTCCCGCACTACAAGCTGGGCAGTGGTCAGATTTGTTCCATATCCGTGTCATGCGCGCTAGTTATCAGAAGCAAGTCAAGCGAGGCGAGTGTCGTCTGAAGCGGGGCGGGAGAGAAAGTGGTTGTTTGGAGAGAATCGGTTCGGTTTCGATCGGATGTCGGTATAATAAGTAGGGAGCGTCTGCCGTTGCTTGATGTGCGATTTCGAAGGTCGCGAGCCAGAGATGGCGATTGATGCGTAGCTGCACAGGGCAAAAATAAAAATTAAGGTATCAAGCAGCTACCTGGGCAGGCAGGCAAGGAGGCGACAAAAGAGTGCGCCGAAGAAGAGAAATAAAGATAAACCACAGTTAGGTTAAAGACAGACTCGAAGGTGGGATGGTGGATGACCAAGGCAAATATCAATTGAGCATTGAGGCGGGCGAGTAGACGTGCGGCGTCTGGCGAAGCATTGGGATCCAATGAATGCAGCGCAAAAACCCGAAAAAGGGACGGTCGGGCGGCAGACGGCAGACAGAAAGAAAGGGCGCCTATCTCGAGCCAGCACCTACACTAATGTAGCTGCTCCTTCGATGTTTCGCCTTCCGCCTTCGGGACGAAGAGATTGAAAGAAATTCAGACGTGGAGTGTTCGGAGAAAAGCTATGGAAGCATTTCCAGGTTTGTAAATATTCCCGCAAGCGTGCACCAAACAATCCAGGATGACCCATTGGCCAGTGCGTGACGGGACAGCGCATGCCACCGCCTGCACAGCAAAAGGAGCAGTCCCCAGTAGTCCCCAGTATCCCCGTTGTTGAGAGCGAGAGAACCTTGGTTGGAAAACGGGCGTCGGTTGGCTGGTCGAGTGCTGGTGCAACGCTCAAGGACAAGGCTGGAAGTCTAATTTCGCGTCGAGCTGCGATAGGCAGGCACAAGGGCAGGTTGCGTTAGCACGAACCGTTTGGGCCCTGCACGCTTGCTGTTTTGGGCAAAACACCAGTACCCCCGCGGGTTAGCGGCTTCCTACCCTTTCCAGAAGAGCCTGGATCCAGAGCCATCCTGTCATCTTTGCCCTTGTTCCCCCAGACGAAACATGAGGCAGTGCAGTGTTCCGTTCCAAACGCCGTCACCGACAATTCGGGTCTTTTGCGATGCGGCCAAAAACCCCAAACCGATCCGATGCCGACTCCATCAAACAAAAGATGGACTCCTGCACCCCTCGCTCGAGGACGTTGGATACTCAGAGAAATCACAGGGCAGGACGGCATCTCATGAAGCGCCCCACACAGGCTGCATGTACGCCCAAAGACTTCGCAGGCGTCAGTCAACCCCCAGGATGTGCGCAAAGCAAGCGGGCCCAGCAAAACAACTCACCGCCATGTCTCGGACGCAGCCGATCATGACCCCGGATTCCGACGGATGCGCTGAGCACGCTATTTCTTGACTCTCGACTGAGCCCATCGAGCCAATTGAAGGCGATACGCCCGAGTATTCTCACAGCTGTTTTCACGAATTCACTCCCCTCGGGCCGTTTGACCGGCGATCGCACGCGGCGAAATGCCATGCGGATAGTATGGGTCCTTTGATACGTGTTCGACGGTGATGGCAGCGATCGGAAGCGAGGACGCAAGCCGCAGGCTCGGCAGGGGGTGCCACAAGCGCACAGCGGGGCGGCAATTAAACCCCCGCTCAAGAGCTGGGCAGCGCGTCCCCGATTCGCGTCTCGATCGCGCCCAATTCGGTTTATCATGCCGTCGAGCAGGACTCCTCCAACCAGACACCACGAGATGGCACCAGTAGATGAGAGCTGGTGGTGGTACAGGTGCGGAGGGGAGGCAACTCGGTTGTTACTGGCCCTTCAGTGATTTTGCCGATTTGCCAGTCCCACGAACCCACCCTCGCCCGCAATTAGCGGCCGGCGATGTGTAGCATGGTCTTGAAAACACAATAGATGGCCGAATGAGGAAGAATGCAAGGGATGCCATCAAAGACAATGAGCGTGGTTGGGAAATTCCGGCCGGTCCAGGCGCACAACTGAAGCAAGGTGCCGAGACAACTTTCGATGACCGCCCATTGCGTAAACTTCCTTGACACCTCGGAGACGGGCAGCAACTCAACTGCAGGCAAAACATAACTAAATATCGCCACCACCCACTCTCACTCCACGGTGTCAAGGAGCAGTACTGTGTAGCTCTGGACCTGTCAAGTCTAAGAATAGTCTTAGGAGAACCGGTGGAGCACGGGAGCAACCGCGGGTCTGACAAGCACTTTGACTTTTGGCGATTCGCTGAAACGACCCAATCCCGTGGCCATCCCACCCACCATTTCCCGCGGCCGCGGTACAACCCAACACTCAGACGGCGTCTAAGCAGGAGTGTGGTCAGCCCGCCGCAGACCCGGATCGTCGCTCTTGAGTTTCCTACCCCTAACCTAGTAGGAAGTGTCAGCCGCGTTCAAGATGCCTGCCATCTCAGACACCCTGCGCAAGTTCAACCCCTGGCATAAGGGCAAGTACCTCAGACTCAAGCTTTACCGTTCCACATACACCACGTGCTCGTCGTCATATGAAACACATCCACTCACACGCACACGCACACAAGACAACCGACTAACCCCGAGTCTCAGATGCCGTCCCTCCACCCCCGCCAATCACCACCCGAGCCGCCTACGGTCTCATCGCCCTCTATGCCCTGAGCTACTTCGTGCCCTTCTACCTGTCCCGGACCACCCGCCCGTCCCCGACCCTCTCGCGGGACTCGCCCTCGGTCATCCGGGCCCGCATCCGCTCCGTGACGCTGTCATGCCTGGCCTGCACGGCCGCCACCTACGTGGTCGTCTCGCGCGCCCGCGCCGGTGCCACAACACCCCTTGAGGGGCTACACCTTCTCGGCCTCTGGCCCGTCGCGCTGTGGGACTCCCTCCGCGTTCTGTTCCTGACGGCTCTGCTCTTCGCGGGCCCGCTGTTCAGCTACCTGGTCGTCGACCGCGGCTGGGCCGACTGGGCCCGCCTCGAGCCGCTCCGCGAGGTTTGGTCCGAGTGGACGACCTGGCGGAACATCATCGCCGTATGCCAACCCCCCCCCCCCCCACCTCTTTTTTTTCTCAAGGTCCCAACTAACACCTCTCTCCCCGAACCAGGGCCCCACCACCGAAGAAATCCTCTTCCGCACCGCCTCCATCCCCCTAATGCAGCTCGCCCACTGCCCCCCACGCACCACCATCCTCCTCACCCCGGTAATCTTCGGCCTCGCGCACGTCCACCACCTGTACGAGTTCCGGCTCATGAACCCGCGGCTGCCCCTCGTGGCGGCCCTCGCGCGCTCCGTCTTCCAGTTCGCCTACACGACCCTCTTCGGCGCCTACGCCACCTTCCTGTTCCTGCGCTCCGGCTCGCTGCTGGCCGTGTGCGCCGTGCACGCCTTTTGCAATTGTATGGGCCTGCCGCAGGTCTGGGGGCGCGTTGAGCCCGCGCCGGGGCCCGTGGCCGTGTCGGTGCCGGTGCCGGTGATGGTCGGGGGGGAGAGGGACGCATTGCTGCAGCGGCGGGGTGGGGATGCCGCGAGGCCGAGTATCGCATGGACGGTGACGTACTATGTGTTGCTGGTAGGGGGCGCCGTCATGTGGTATAGGAATCTGTGGGTGTTGACGGAGAGTGAGAATGGGTTGGTGCCGAGCTCGGCGTTTTCGGGGGGGTCTGCAGTAGGGGTTGGGATGGGCATGGAATGAGTAGTGGGTGTTGGTG